TCCTTCTTGATGGTGCCGAGGGCTTCCATAACCATCGGGACTTTTGTTGTTTTGAGCCCCCACATTCCCTCAACCTCGATTTCCAAGTCTTTGTATTTTTTAAGTTTTTCCGTGGTTTTGACTGAGGTCTTGGTGTCGAGAGGTATAGTCGTGTCAATGAGAAGGCAGGTTTTATCCTTCTGGTTCTTTAGCACAATGTCCGGCGTATTAGCTGCTATGGTCCTGTCAGTGTGGATAAGCATGTTCCACAGAGTAGTGACGCTGTCATTCTCGCTGACAGTCTTGGGTTCATTCTCATACCATCGCTCCTTCACCTCAATGTCAAACTCTTTGCAGATCTTCCAGTGCATGTGTGCAGCTGCCTTGTTGTGGCGGTGGATATATTCAGTTTTAGCCAGTTCAGGGCAGCCAGAGACCAAGTGGTCAATGCAGTCTCGTCGAAAAGACCACACGGTCTATATTTTGGGTCCACGTCAGGCTTCTTGAGGATGTTGTGTTGGTACCAGCGTGTTCGGAGGCTTTGATCTTGGGCTGCGATGATAAAGCCCTAGGTTTCTGCCTTGAGGCCAGCTGCGTTTAGCCATCTGTGGGTCTTTTCTTGGTCCACGTCACCCTGTTTCATTATTATTATTATTATTATTATTATTATTATTATTATTATTATTATTATTATTATTATTATTATTATTCACTCTTCTCTCTATGCCGATGTTAATGGCTTTCTGAATCCTTCACTTATAACTGGTGAAAATTATCGTCCAGATATTCTTTTCCTAATTCACTCCAAGTGCCTATACGTTGTAGAATTAACAGTCGGTTTCGAGTCTGACCTTACTAACAATGCAGTGCGTAAAAAAGAAAAATACCTTGAACTTGATCAAAGAAATGAGCAAAAAATTACAGTTGCGTGAAATTTGTAAACCTCTCCATAAGCTCCCTTTGCGTTTTCTCCGTCGAATGTTCCACGTTCTTAGACATGATGAATGACATTGGCATTGGAAAAAAGCAGCAATATTATATATTAATCAAAACAATGATAAATATAGCCATTAGAACAACATATTACATCTTTTGTTGTAGAAATAGGAGTTGGGATAGCCCAGACTTAATGAAATTTTGATTTTTGAATAATTCAATCTCAAGCAGCTAATTGTAAATTGCCTATACGTAGCGACATTTACAATTGTACATTTAAAACGGCAAATAAAGTTTCCATTATTATTACCATTATTATCATTATTATTTCAAACAATGATGCTCCATCATTTGATCAATAAACCACTTTAATTTATACTTTGTTCCTTTTGTTTCTATCATTTCAGACACCAGGCGATGGCCTCTACACCTCTCTTACGTCGTGCGACTCCGCGAACAGTGGTAGAGGAGCCAGCAATGACTCGCCCATATATGTCAATCAAGTGCCTTCTTCTGAATACGTCAATGGGTGATTTCTGGCACTGCAAATCTGGCCTGCTTAGATGGCTGGATTAGCGGGTGGTGCTGTTGTCTTTTTTTGGCAGCGTTGTAGCGAGAAGATTGGGACCAAGTCAACTACCTATTAATCATATATCAATTATAAATTGAAAAGTTTGTTGTCCAAGATATGAGTTTTTATTTTATAAGAAAAATAACATTAGTCGATCATTTAGCTATTTTTTGTTAATTTCATTTACTTGAAACAGTTGTAGATTGTTGAATAGCAAAACTATACAGTAATTTAAAATAAATTATAATGGCTTCTGATTTAATATTGTTTAAGTTAACTTTCGAGCAGAGTCGGTGGAGCTGAGGAGTAATCACAAATTTGGATTTTATTATTCTGAATTGATAACGAATTATTACATACGACACTAAGTGAATGCTGATTATGAAGAAATTGTAACATCAGAAATGTCCTTGTCATTCGCGTCCTAATATTTAGCACTTGAAGTGATGGCTTTCATTGTTACGCCATCACAAATAATAATGAAAACCGTTCTGAATAGATGAGGTCCAGAATCTGGGCAAGGATGTTAATATGCAAAGACCCTTGTAAAGATTCATGTCCACTGTACTTAGAAATGGATAGACCTTTAATTATCTCGTTTCATTTTTATATCTAATCAAGATCAATAAGAATTTAATTACGTATTCACTTGCTTGATATTTTCTTTTTACATAAGTTACCATCGAATATAGTATGTATACTTTCGTTTTAAAATACAGGACATGGTCACATAAAGTGGCAAAAGCAATGAAATGACAAATTATTCATTTTTTTCTGCCCCAAAGGATAATTGAGAGTGATGAGAAGAGCACGTTCATTGAAAGCAGTACACTCTTTTTTGTATATATAAGAATGTTGTTTTTCCGGCCCAGGCTGAATATTTTTATTTTTCTGCGGATTTTAGGCTGAAAAGATTCTTGTATTATTCTTAAATAGAGGCTAAGGAAAACTATTGTTCATAATTTTTTTTTTTTTTTTGAATTTTATTTTATTAGCTTTGCCCTGAAGAATACA